CACTCTTACCGCAAGACGAGCGGACGCGCGAAAAAAAAAAAAAAAATCCGGGTGGAGACGCTACTTTGACATTTCCGCACCAAACAGCGTGACGTCATAAATTTTGACGGCGTCTATTGGGTCCTACGTAGTTCCTAATCGGTAAAAATTAAGTACACTGCCATCTGCGGGGGCCACAGACCTAAAGCACGAAGTTGCAGAAAATTTCATCGAGCCAATGTCGCAAAATTACGAAAAATACATTTTGAAATTCATGACGTCATATGCGGAGAGTTTGGCGCGAAATTCAAAAATGAATCTTCCATCTTGATTTTTCGTTTCTAATAATGAACTTATGGTGGTGACAATTGCGACATAAGAGCTCTTAGAGTACAGTTTATTACATTTTTTTCCCTTTAGAGACCTTTTCAAGCTATCCTTTTTCAAGCCGTAGATTCCCTTATGTCTTTGTATGAAAGATTGTTAGATTCATGAATCAATCATTATATAATGCATACATTAAAACCTGATGCGCCTAATGCGCGTCGGGTTTTAATGTATGCATTATATAATTCAACTATGCATTGCATTATTAAGCTCGATGTTACGCACGAGTGAGCTGGCCTTTTTGTTCCCATCCATAGGCTCATGAAAGCACTCAGAGATGACACCCAAAAGGTAACGGTAAAGGATTATTTCATGCATTTATTCAAGATGTTCAAAGCTGCAGCCTGTCAAGTACCTGAGCATAACAAATGCACTCACTTTCAAGTTTGTTTTTTTTTTTCTTTATGGCCCAAGTCGTGCCATGGTAGTTTAATCACTGACTAATCATAACAACATTTTACTAAGGCCATTAGAGAAGCCTGGACATGGTCACCCAACAAATTGCAGTTTTCAATGGAAAATACAAATATAAAGCCTAGTGCACCTGAACATTTATGAAGAATGGACCTTAAAAGAATATTCAATTGCAAAATGAGCCCTGGGAATCAATGTCTGTAAACTCCGCCCAACACTTATGACCGGCATTTTGCCATGGCTATGTGACATCATGCGCTGCATGGAACAAAGCAGTCGTCTTCTATTGAAGTTTCGACCATTGAAAATTGATCAATTTCAATGCCAAGCTGAAGAAAAGTGAAACAAATTACTGAATGCGTGTGCAGCTGACCAGGAAAAAAAAAATCGAGAGAATGTGGATGCTCCCACAGCAAGCAGCTTCTTGTTATGTCATGACCCGTGAGTGCGCCAGTGCCGCTGGACTCTCTGGCCCCTCGTGTGTTCATAGAAATATTCAATTATTATTTAAATGGGCAACCGAATTCGTTTTTCAGCTTGCCTGTGAATCCATGAGTATTCACCAACACAACACAGATTATGATAAAAAAATGAATGCCTGAAAAATATGTCAATTGAAGCATACTTGCTTCAACAGGCACCTCTTCTGATTTTTTTATTACTCTGGATTAACTCCTTGACAGGGCACAACACAGTTGCCACCAAAATGTGGCACATCACATGTAGCTATTGCACTATGTACAGATAGGAAACAGTTTAGAGATAAGAAACTGATACAGATAGGAAACAGATAGGAACATCCTTTAACAAAGCACTTCACTTTCCAACAATACATTTACTATAAAACAGTGAATACACAGCCGTGTGCTTCTGTGAAACAAAAATAAAAAAGAAAAAAAGAAAGAAACGAGATCCCAAATGCATGACATCGACACGACACACTATCTACTTCAGCTGTGCACAACACAACATCCATGCATCTGCATTATCCCGCTGGTAATAAAATGCACCAGACAATGAAGAAAATCAAGGACCATACTGGTACCACTATTTCAAGAAAAACCAAGCCTCAACAGAGAAACCGAATGAAACAAAGACTTACTGCATTATTTGGTATTGACTAACTTTGCTATGTTCTACTGACACCATGCAACTGAAATGCTGTTACACATAACATGCACCACGTCAGAGTTCTGAGTTACAATGTTTTGATGAACATGAGCTCACTGATACTAGTAATTTGCTGAGCTCGCCAGAATGTCGTAGGAAACGCATGCGAAAGGATTTGCATACACATTACTTTAGATACGTGTCACAGAATATCTGGTGCTTCTAAGTCTAGAACCTCCACAGCAGCATCTTTCCTATTCCTTCAAGTGACAAAATTCATCAATCAATCAAACACCTAGATGCAATATCACACATATGGCAGTGATGCCGAAGCAGCATCGCTATTATAGCTTTGTGATTATGTACAGAAAAAAACGCCCACCCTACCCATTTCCAGGACAAGTGCTAGGTATAAAGTCTCACATGCCAAAACCATGAAGTATCACAGAGGAGCGCTCTGGAATAATTTTCATCCGAGGTTTTTTAATGAGCAGCTACATACAATAATTTTGTATATTACCCTCATCAAAATGTACCTGCTGCAGCTCGTAATTGAATTTTTTAAAATACATGGTTAGCAGTGATTTACTGCAGTCACCGTAGCGACTGTAGACACTCCAGTCACTGAAGTACCCCAGTTTCAATACCACAGTTTCAATACCCTAGTTTCAATACCCTAGTTTCAATACCCCGGTTCTAGCACCCCGGTTCAATGCAATCAGACCTGAAATTACTCAAGCTACATTCAATGTCGCATTACCCAGCCTCAGTTACTTCACAAGGTCATGCCAACACGGCACTGTAGACGAAAAAAAAAATTAATTGCGCAGGCAAGCTACTGTACACTTGCTTGCTTTAAACAATGTCAATCAACCATCTACTGCAGTCCTCGCAACTAGTGTTAGTGAAAATGTGGAAGCCCTGTTATTGGGAGCACAGTTGTTTGCAGTACGACGGGGATGCAGGCAGGAGGCACAGACAAATACAGAGGTCAGTCATCTAAAGAAAATTTCATGACACGGACAGTCCCTTGACAGTTATAGTAGCACAAATATACAACATAGTATGGTGTAAGAGCTGATCATCCCCAGCATCCCGTGTCAATCAGTTCGCGAAGCTGGCTGTGTGTTACGCAAAAACGTGATAGCACCACAAGAAGTCAACACAGAGTGTATTAGGCGTGAGTTAGAAGACTCAAAGCATAGTGATCATGGTGAAAATAGGCCTACATTTAAAATTACCGTTCCAGAGTAGCCATGCCATCATTACTGCTTTACAGAAAAGAGGACAACAGTAGCCACAATGTATACACACTTACCAAGTTTCATCATTTAAACTCGCTCTACAAAAAGCCTGCTTCTTTCTACCACCCCCATACAAAAGCACTTCAGCTAAACCTCGGTTGTTGGTGTGTGAAGGTATGCCTACAAGAAGGATGGGAAATCGGATAAGTATTACATGTAACCACCTGCTCACAAAAATATGAAACGTTAATAACAGAGCACATGCTACAAATTTGTTCTCAAGGCATGACAAGACTATCCATAACATGTACTCTTCCTATACTCGTGGACAACTTTTCTTGGCAATGAAAGTAAGGCTACAGGCACAGACTGCACGTGTGCCATCGCTGAAGATTTTAGTCCCACAATTGCATTGGTGTTTTCTGTGACAGTAGGAAAAAACATTACATTACATTATTTTCTATGGGACGCTGTTTGAAAAGAAGGTCAGCACGCACCTAGGATTATTTATATCCGTTTTATTTTAAGCAGTTTTTTTCTCGCTTTTGCCAAAGTGAGAACCTCGCACAATTAGCGTACACCTCACAGTCAAAATGGAGTCCTCATCATCACGCCACTCCCTGCTTTTCCGACGACACACCGAAGAATATTGTGATGAATTTCAATAACGTATGGCTGTCTAAGCAGATCAAGAGAATTGTCTACAATGTTATTTGAGCACGGCCACTCAAATAATCAAACGGCTGTCACAGGAGATGCGGAAGGTTAACAAACCAAAATCAAATTTAAAATGCGCGCCAAACCAGACTACTTTGTGGAGCAGCACATGTGCAGTAGCTCAATTCTGATAGCCTTTCCATCACTGCCTGGAAAAGATGTACATGAGTATACCACTTTTCTGGTGTTTCTTCTGGCTAAAGCATTAAAAATTAAAACTTGTATTGAGATGAGAGAAGCAAACTTTTTGTCTTAATGTTAAAGCTACCACTCTGACAGTTCACAACACACCAATGCCAAACAAACACCAACAAAGACAGGCCTGTGTATGTCGCTTAGCGACTAGAACTTTTTCAAGAGTACTAGTACCATGAATGGTAGCATGACTGCTTGCGCAGTGTAAAACTTGATGGCCAAGTAATATACATTTCAACAAGCCTCAGATAGAATTGTTCTCCAACTACTATATTCAGGCTTTTATTTCATAGCTGCCTACAGCTGATTCTAAACAAACAAGTTTGCATTTGAGGATAGCACAGGACACAGCCCTAAAAGAGATGAATGGAGGACACTGTCCTGTTATGTTCTCCTACAGTGCACCCTCTCTTTAAAGTAATGTCCAAAACAAAAATAAACTCTACCCTGCCTATTCAGCGGACTGCCCAGCTCAGCTACATTAAACATCGAATACAGTCACTCTACATGCTCTGAGGTGACTGAAATATTGGGAATCTACACAATAACGGTAAAAAGAAGTGGCAGAAAGCAGCCTCCTATTCGCAATAAACTAATACTGTACCTAGATTCCTCTTCAAGAAGAATATTAATGTTAGCCACCTGCATTATCTGAGGTGATAAACCGAGGTTTTTGGCTATGTTGCTCTGCTCCGGAAGCCGATGAAATGGGATTGAAATGAACGGAATGGCTCTTAAAATTAAGCAGTCGTGAAACGTTTTGACACAACATTGCGCTACACAATAACCAATTTTTTTAATTATCATGAGGAAACTATCAAAGCATCAATAACAAGCTAGACCGAAATTCATCATGGAAGTGTATGTGTTGCACAGTATTGTGCTTTTTAGGGCATGCAGCCACCAGTATTCAGTTAACTGCTTCAAATGAAGCAGCAACTCAGCAAAGCCAGCTGATTAGTAAAACTTACAGCCATACCACTTATGCCGATCTTTGCGACAAACTGTGCCAGCAACGACCAGTATGACAGAACACAAATGTAGTGAAGAATAAGGGAAGAAATTGCGGACAGCAAAGTTGGGCAAAATGGGTTCACAAATGAGGTCAAAGGAGCTCAGGGATACAACCTCTCCATGACCCAGCCAGGTGCGGCTGGCTGCGCCACGCCAGAAGGGTCACCCTTTCGAAAGACGATGCGATCGTGCAGACGAGAGGAGTGTCCCTGCCAGAATTCCATGCGTGATGGGGACAGGCAGTAACCTCCCCTAGAAAAGGCCAACGCCACAGCAACAGTTCATTGCGGCTACTTTCAAATACTTAGTTTCTTTAAAGTGTTGATTTTTGGCTCCCTGAAAAACATTGCTGCAGAAACTGCTTGCTATGTAGAACTGCTTGTTTGTCAAGCAAGTACAGATGAACCCCTATATAAAAGACAGCAATATACGTGACAACCGGGTAAAAAGCACACCTACGTGCCGACATCGAAATAGGTGACAAAATGAGAATGCGGAGCCCCATTTATGAGAGACACCTCTAATAAGAGACGAGAATTTCTCTTTAGTGTGTGTCTCTTATAAAGTGGTTCATCTGCATTACAAATGCTTAATTTTACACACTAGCGCCTGCTTATGTTGCTAGTTACCACAATACACAGCATCAGCCAAATAATGTGCACTGGTTGAAGAGTCACACATTCACATAAGGAAAGTATGCCTTGCCACAGCGATACTAGAAGTTTTAGAGCCTTGCATAACGATTACAACAATCACAAGGCACAGTTGTAGAAATTCAGAGGCACAGTAAAACACCCCACCTGAATGCCTGCAACTTGCAGTCTATCTTTCACCCATTGCACTTAAAAGGGTGGTCCCATCAAATTTCGAAGCTAAAACAAGCCTCTTGTCGGTTTTCGCTGTATGCTAGGACACCCCCCACGAACAGTCAGACACAGCAAACATTTAGAATATATTTTATTTCACTTCCCAAAGGTACCTAATTGCTCATTCTCCCAACCAAAGCCTATCACAAGCGCGTCCAGAAGTGTCGTAGCTGTGTAGAAAAAGAAACGAAAGTTGCAGTGACGTCCCACCAGATCTGTGGTGAGCGTAGGCGTGCAAAGGTCTCCCCTCGAGGGGGACAAAGGTTCGTTGCAGTGCACGCCCTCCCTATTATGTCAATGTATGGGTCTGACTTCATGGCCCCTCCCTAAGTTGCAGCGCCCTCTCCCAATTATGTCGATGTGTCGGGCTGTGTTTGCACCCCACCACCTACGTATCGGCAAAGCACCGCGGCTGGTACACGTTTGTTTTGCAGGTGCTTGTGCAACACGTATGTGTTGCACAAGTGTGAGAAAGTGAGCGAGAGCAGACAATAAATAGCACGACGTGCATCACAGCCTTGTGCGGCCACCTGACCAAGCTACACTGCTACGTCACAGGCAGATTCGGGGCCCAGAAACCGAAACCAAAAATTGTCCACATAAAAGAGGTGGTATTAATTTATTTAGGGAGAAGAAATCGACCTTCGTGCATGTATCATGCTTTCTAAAGATATCAAAAAAAGCTTGCAGAAAAGAACGCGCAAGCAACAAAAATGGTAGCACCACCTTTTTAATAGTGCAACATGAAAGAACAAAGACAAAGGAAGGAAGGGAGGCAAGGTATGTTAAGGGTAGGGCCAAGAAGGCATGATATATTTTTGTTCTGCAACAAAACAGGCATAGCCAGTTGTATCATCAGACCACAAAACATTACCTCAGGAAAATGTCAGCCCAAGTAATCTACTAATATTTCCTGTACACATTGTCTAGCTTAAGTCTATAAGAAAACTCTTGAATAGGAGCAGAAAGTCTTTTAGGCACGAAAGCACTTTGAGCCTGCTGGCTTTGCGTTTTGCACTCACTATCTGCACCGTGTGCTTATGGCACTATGGCAGGCCATAATGGCAAACCATGAGAAATAAAAATTAAAAGCTGACATAGATATGTCAGCCCCTTCATGTCTATGAGCTTTCAAATCTACAATTATCTTCACAGTGGTGATTTATCACCCAATCTTTGCTTTGCTCATCTACTTATTAATAATATAACCAGTTACTGAGAAATTGTGCATTTCTAATCCTACAGAAAAGCCATTGGTTCAATCGTAGCCACCATATTTGTGGATGCAAAGCTTTTGGGGCAAGCTTGGGCACTGCATGGTTAACTATAGAAACGGCATGCCCTGAACAAAGTCTACATTCAGTTTGCATTTTGTGCGCAACAGTGGTGTTCACACTATATTTCCTTGGAGCCCCTATTCTATAGCTCTAAAGTGGACTAATGGATGTTCATAAATTTTTATATACAACTGGAAGTTAAAACCTTAAGCTGCATTGTTCATTCAGCAAAATAGAAAAATAAAAAAACAGTGAAGTGTCTTGAGCAGCTTTTGCAATGCAGAATTGTTTGTTATTACAACATCTCAGCTACTTGACAATTGTGATTCTCACCAAAAAGATGGCTTTGGAACTTCCTTGCTAGCATCCTTGTACTCCTCCTCCAATGCTTTCATCTTTGCTTCAAGAACCTGGAAGATTAACAGTGCAACATTTGTAATCAGTTAGCACTGAACACTTACTATCTCATTCTGTTCATTCATTACCTTAACCATTTGACTCATTTTTGTATTATTCACTGCATTACCATACCAACAAGTCTGAGTAACAGCCATTCTGCTATTGCGCAAGTTTTCACTGACTAGTTCACCAGTGTCGTTTCATACAGTTCATGCAGAATATGCAAAATGGCAGTCACATACCTCACATGCACGAAAGAAGTGGATGCGAGGTACGTGAATCCTGCTTTACGTATGACTATGTGAACATAACCATGTGAAACCTCACTAGTTACAAATTTGCAAATGCTATCAAACAAGATAGTAAGCTGAAATGATAAACAACCACTTGTGGTCATATCATTAACAAGCTGCGGTACTTTTATATACCACTGTCAAGGCATATGAGCAGTATCTTTCTATCAGAGTTCTCAAAATTACTGAACCATCTTTCTGAGTATCCAGTGGGACTTCACACAGACCATTACAGAGGTGCACACCAGCGACAAGCACAAGCATACCTTAGTTTGTAAACACGAGCAAAAGTCAAAATGGACATTTATGTCTGTGTAAGGCCATACTCTCCCAAACCAAATGAGCCTTTTCTGGGTAAGTAGTGTGTGCAGGCGCGCCGGCCTCGAGGAGGCACACGCCATAATTTTTGGTGGCTGAAACGCGCCGACACATGCGGACAGAGCGCCATCTGGTGCCACAAACACGGAAATGTTGGCCCCAAAGGGAGGCGCAAATGCAGGTCTCCTGAGATTGCTTACTGGCATGTGGCGGACAATTTCAGAGTCTAAGAGCCACGAGTTTTGATTTCGGCAACCTCCGCTTCGTGTGCTTGTTCGGACTAGGAAAAGGCCCATTGAACATAAGTAGAGGGGTTATCATGAAAGCAAATTTTTGAATAACATAGATGTTCAAACAAACATGATGCCAAAGCCCATTACCCTCCCCCCCCCCCCCCCCAAATTCATGAACAATATAATAAAATATTCATTACTTATACAGTTTCTACGCTATGCTTTTGTCCTGAAATATAGAATTATGCTGCTGTTATCACCATGCTCTGCAAAATATCAAAAGTGCATCAGACAGCAGATCATGTTCATAACTTCCATGCCTTCCATTAAAGAATGTGTGGGTTTCAAAAATTGCCTATGTTGCGAGACAGATAATGGCATGCCTCACGAGATCTGGACATGTGCCCAAGGTATTTAGCAATTAATGACTGATAAATCAAGACGGAAGGGAAAGTTGGCACTTTCACCTCGAAGCCACGATATGATTCTGAAAGACACTGTAGTTGGGGGCCATGGAAATTTTTGCCACCTAGGGTTCTTCAACGCGTCTATAAATCGAAGCACATGATCCTCTAGTGTATTGCCTACAGCATGCAGCCGCAGCAGCTGGGATTCTGTCGCACGACCTACGGATCAGTTTTTTTTTTCAGGAGAGGACCTGCAGAAAAACAAAAAAAATAAAAAACAAATTCAGGCAACTCACAGCTCGCGATTCCATAGGTTCACTTTGTGTGGATGCAGCAGCAGCCAGCTGCGAGATACGTGGTCTTCTGTGGAAGTATTGTTCGGACACCTCTTTGGACACCTTCTCAACTGTGCCTTCTACACGAACCTGAGACAGATAGGATGCAAAACTATTTTAAGCGTGGCAGACTAATGCAAAGACTCGTATTCTGGTGCTTCGGTGCACTGTACTTCTGAAATAGACTTAGCTATTGCTTGCTTCTTTTGTCGGAAACAGCTAATTGCGCTTGATTACCCTGTTTTGTCATTGCCGCATTGGTGTGATTATGAGTGACCTTCGCTTCCATCATTATGCCCCAATGTAATGCAATAGTATCAAAGAGCTAGTTTCGCACAAATTCTGGAGTCGGCGCCAGCATCGCTGGTTGTGAGCAAGAATTCAGCGTTGTCCATGAGCGATAATTCATGTTAGTTGTAAGTTAAGACAGTAAAAACATGGTGGATTCGAGTGGGTATCGAACCCAGAACTTCTGCATTGCAAGCAAATGCTCTACCACAGAACCACACCCATGCATTCAATTGCTATCGAAAAAACACAATACGAATGTTATTTAGTGCGGAGAGTGTCAAAGAGTGTCGAATCACACCAGGCAGAAAACATGCGAATTGCATAATGAGTGGTCAGTTTAAAGACAGCAATCAATTACAACACACACGGGCATAATTAACTTTCATTATCACCAACAATCAACAACGTGTGCAGCTGCACAAGTGCGTGTGTCACCTTATGGACACGCGCTGATTACCTCACCAACTCGCAAGAGGAAGAAATGTCGTAGCGGGCACTTTGCAACTGTTTTTGCAATAGACATTCTAGGATAGCTTAAAAGGACTGATTTACAGGCACGCTGATCCACTTTCCTTGTGGCATGATTCAGGTAGAAACAACAAAGCCAGGTGAGCAATTTGGAAAGTGTTGTGAACATGTTGCGATTAAGCTATTGCATTATACTCTCAAAGGCAATGCTCAAGCATCTTCCCAGTTTTTCAAACTTCAATTTTTCTGAAACACTCCTGAAGTGCTTTCAATCATCTTTGTACTTCGAAGTGCAAACAAAATTTTACCTCTTCACTAATCAGCACATACTATTTGTCACTACCACAAAGTGTGAAGTAAAAAATTAAGGGAACATTAATTTTCACAGTGTTTTAAAATTGACTATTGATTTCAAGCAATGTTTGCATGACTTAAAAAAAACATGGTTTATGAGTGCTTGTACTGCCATATATATGAAGTACAAAGTTCTGTAAAGTATAAAAATAACACAAAATCAGCTCTCAAGCGCCAATGCTCAATACCAATTTATATGTTAGGACAAAACATAACAGGATGTGCTGCATTCATTGAGACAGATTTGAAATTGAGAATATGACAGTGGACGAAGCAGGCATCCAGAAAAATGTGCTGCTTAGCTTGGCCTGTACAAGGCGTTATACAGATGACCCTGTATATTTCTTTTAAAACTTTATTGTGTTGTGATGTCAAGGATAAAGTAACCGAAGACAGCACAACAACCAGTAATAAACCTACAAATTGTGCACCCTAAAGTTGATGCTCCAGCGAACTCTTTCACATGAACGCAATGTGAGAGCTAAACGCTGCAGCTACTTAAACTGCGTTCGCTTTGGTTCCTGGCCCAATACACAAGGCCACATTGTAACAGAAACAAAGTATTGCAGCGAAGCATCAGCCCAAGAGATGGCACGTAGCAAAAAAAAAAAAAAAACATGTGCCACCAAAAAATGCTCATTCTTACCAGACAAGAATTACATACATGATAAGTACAACAAAGCGAGAAAGCTACTTAAAACTGATATTTCATAAACCCAATATTAAAAACATTCCTTTTAGAACAGAACTGCTGTATTCTAGGTTTGCCGTGTTTCGTAGACAAAAAATTATCGTCATCACAAAATAACACTGGCTCAATCCGCCCAAGCATCTTGTACAGGTGGTGAATGAGAGAACCTGACACGTGTCCACCAGCTGTGATGTGACCCAGCCTTGGCGACTCAGTACAACCTGCACTAATTTTTCTTTAAGTATGATATAAGTTCCTGGGTTTCCTTATTCTAAAAGGGGACAAGGACTGGGGACAAGCAACCAGAATGCAAACTAGCACAACAAAGCCGGTTTTCATGAGGCAAAGTGCCAATGTGATTATTAGCCTGCCACAGCAAACTCATTTCCACTACTTGCGATTTATTATAACAAATCAATGCTTACCTGCCGGTTTTGTCTGTCCCAGTAAAACAGCAGACAAGCATTTGGATTTTCTTCCTGAAATATTCAAAGAATATTGAGGCTCTAAGGACCCACTAATGGCAGAGGAGGCTTACGGCAACAAGGCTTACCAGCTCCTTTCCCTTGCGGCTTTCATAGTTTGTAAAGAATACGAAGCCGTCTTGTCCAAACCCTTTCAAGAGAACCATTCGTGATGAAGGGATGCCCGACCTGAAAATTCAGTGTGAAATGGATTAAAGTAGCACTTCTGAATACAAAAACACAGATTATGTAGGAATAAAAATGAGGCTAGTCAGTACAAAATAACAACTGTGTTATGGCAAATTCCCTTGGGAGAGCAGAAGCACTCAAAACACACGCTAAAGTGCTCTTTTCAGAGCTGGCAGCGTTTCAGTGGTCGAACAGGTGCAGGAGCACTGTCATCCATTGGTAGAGCGAGAGCACTTTTGCTGTGCCGAGAGCAGTCAGGAGCAGTTTGCAGTGCTCTCGCTGAAAAGCGGAGTAGGCACAGTACGACGAGTCGCGTGGTCCTTGAACGTCACAGTCTACAAATTTTTTTTCAGTGGACGAGCGCGACGGTAATGGTAGCAACCATGTGCAGTTTGACACTGCTGTTTTGTACGGATGTGCTACGATGAGAGCTGGAAATTTGCCGAATGAGTCACTGCACAAGCATACTAGGTATTAGGATAATGAAGAATATTTGGCTGACCGATTTCACCCGTATTTTGCTGCTGCCCCACAAAGAATATGCCGGGATTCGGAATGTTTCAGTTACATGGTCTCCCTACTCGTCACCTTCTCACCTGCCCTTCGGGAGCGCGGCGCATTCCTGTGGCAGGTTGAGTGGCCCCGAGTTTCAATTTAAATAACAAATAATATCCTGTATGCTTTCGTTCCCTTTATATGGTTGCAAGTAAGGAAAATCATGCATAATGTAGCATAAGCTCTTCGATTCAGTGTGTGAACTTGTGTTGCAATTATTTTGTTTTACAGAAGAAATTAAGTAAAGTCCCTGTTAGTTATCGCAAGCATCTATTATGTAGAGCTACAAGCTGCACTTATAGCCACCAATTCCTGTAGATCCATGAAGTCAGCAATGCATTTCCATGCATGCAAAGCCAACTACTATGTGGAAATTCTCCCCCATGTATACTGAGAGGCAAATGTTGTTTGTTGTTGATTTGTTATACACAAGGATGCTATAAAGGCTGCAATTCCTTTGCGGTTTCTAAAAAGCCCCTGTTTTCCTTTCACCGTTTTGCACAGCACAAGACTTACACGTGTCCCTTCTGCATAAAATAAAAAAAAATGCTGTGTTGCTACGCCATAATCACGAAAGACGAAGTGAACAAGGAAACGAAGGGCACTCATAGCACTGAAACTAAAAGTGCATGTCTCTTTGGACATACAGTGCATTCCGGACAAGATTATTAGTAATATGAAGCTGGAGCAGTGTTCTGAACTTCGGTGCACGGTGCAGCAGGTATGAAATTTGTGTTGAAGCACCATGCCACTCGTATGACATAGCATCGCAAGCTTTCCCCTCAGCGTTTTCCAAGACAACATAGCGGGCTTTCAATTCGCGGTATCACTGTCATGGGCACTGTGTGAGCAATACCTATTATATATAGTCTCTGTAAATGCATATGGGATGGATTGCGTAAAACAACATGCACTGAGCTCATTTGGAACGCAGGCTGAAGGTGCATGCAAACATAAGTACGGCAAAAATTACGTGATCAAGGTGACATAAACTGACGCATAAAAAGACTGAAAATGTGCATCAGCTGCGAACAGCGGTGCGTCGCACTTCACGCAATGAACGCGACAACTCGGGTACTCACTTAGTACTTGTAGCAAGTGTGACGGCGTTCGGTTCGAACATGAAACCAGCATCCTTAACTTCGTTAAACCATGTCTCGAACAGCTTAATTGGATCTCGAGAGGGCAGGTCCTTTTCTAGGAGCGTCCCAGACTCGTACGGCTTGCGCATATCTGAAAAGACGCACGCACTTCGCTCGGATTAAAACTGTTAGCGGGAGACAGAATACGGAAATACCTGCGAGTTGCACGGACGTCATGTTCAACGGTTGGTCCGATCGCTTCTGAAATGCTCTCAGCAGCTGCTTGAACGGAAGTCGGGGTAATCGCATTCTATGCAACTGCCCGCATCATATACGACCTTGTAAAGTACTTCAAAATTAAGTTCTCTCTCTCTCTCTCGTAAAGCACTTCAAAAGCAATAACAACGGCGTAATTAGCCGCCACCAAGCTGGCTATCAACAAAGCCGCAGTGGCCGCAGTTTCGAGGCAGGCTGGAAGAGCTGTACGCACGGCAAAACCCGACCTTGAGGTTACAAGTTACAACCTGCCGCAAATGATGCAGGTAGCTGCTGAAAAAAAAAAGAAAAAAATTGCACAAAATAATGATGATGATGAGCTAATGTAAAAATGTGTAGGCGTGTAGCTGAGCCTATCGCTGATATGTTTTAAGCATTTAAGATAACCTTTCTGGGAGTTTTAGTGTGGGCCACACCATTCTAGCCACCCTAGCCACACCGTAGTGTGGACCATGGTGCACCTAAACAAACTACTGTTCTGCCTCAAACATGGGCTCAACAGTGGAACATTAATGGCTGCGATCAGTAACAATTAAACTGACTCGAACGAGGTCATTTGGATGGCTTTAAAGTGAAAGTTGTTGGGCCATTCTGGACTTTGAACAGCTAGCCAAATGCCGCAAAATAACACGAATACCACCGCTGAGAAAACATCCACAATCTGCAAACGTAGGTGTAAACTTTGCATTGGCTGACCATGCATTGACAAACGAGTTCGTTGTCTACATCTCGCCTGCCATGCAAAATATTGTCGCATGTTGATCATGTGAGTAATAACATACTACTGTACAACTCATATCTGATTACCAAAAGGCTGTTTGAAAGCGAAAGTAAAAAGACTATGATCCTTACGCAACTGTCATCATTAGTAGTTGAGTCGGTCGAATCCAAAAAACAATCGCAATATAGCCAACGTTAGCCGTCTGTGCCTCTGCGCTATTGTGCGACATGCCGTGCAGACTCTAACCGTGCGTACCAAGGGGCTGTTTTGACCGGCAGAAATTCTGTGCTCGTTAGTCCTGTACTGCCTCGGTTCACCGCGTGACAATGTTTGCTCTTGGACAGGCTCCGTCGTATGCACCTCGAAATGACGGAACGTTTTCCGGTTTAATGAAGGCTCTGTACAATGACCCGTTCAAGTGGCAAGTGATCAAGAGCTGGTCCATGTTCTGTTTCGGCGTCTACCTCTCTAGGGAGTTCGCAGGCGTCGACCTCATGGCCCCACCGCCGGCTCTGTAACGGCGACCACTTGTGGAGCGGATGTCGCCTGTTTTTCGAACTGGCACGTAAGTACAAGTGGTGCCCACTTTTCTTGTGCATTACATAGGTTGTGCAGTACATTAGATTGTGCAGTCAGTTTTGTTGTATCACTGTGCCATGTTCTGTAATTCAGCCCCTTTTATAATGATTTGGAGTGAAGGTATTCATAGTAAGTATATTTATTCAGTCCCACGGTGACCGAGTCATGATTGCTCATTTTTTAAACTTTTTTTTCAGGAACAGCTGCGAAGCAGTTCCTACGACTATGGCTGTCGACGCGAGCTTGCCATCATTCGTAGGAAGCCCCCGGAGCCAGTTGAAGTCATCCTTGTGTTATTCAATATGAACGTGTGCTGGGGATCGCCGAGCGGGACCATGCCCTTATGACATGCTTTCGTTTGTTGCACACCCGTAATAAAGAACATTTTGCATCTTGCTTCAATTATTGCTTGTGTTTGTTCTTTCTCTCAACCTCTGTTCAATTCTGATTTGGGCAGCGAAAAATGTGCGCTGTTTGGTGAAACCACGAATTCGATGAGGAACAAATCGTCGTTTTCGTCACTTTCGTAAAGGCCTGAGGAACAGTGGACGCCGACAAATGCCCCTTACGCACCGTGATTTGCTGTGTGAATCGAGGTGTCATCCTGAAGTAAAAAGGTTAGCACGCAGTTCCGTGGAAGGCAAAACCGCGATACAACACCACGTGCAACCATTGGTACAATTTTGGTACAATCAATCAATACATACAAAAAGCAACACGGATGTCGCGTCAGTCAAGTGAGGTCACGTGACGTCCACGCATGGCGTCGCGTGCGGTTCCCGACAGTGTTTGTCGCAAGGGATACTTCAAGCGTGTTTTTCTTCGTTTGTGCGCGTTTGAACCTGAGTTAGTGCACAAGTGAGGGTGAGTACAACGAAAATATTCACGTACGGCGTGTGTCGCGTTACCTGACAGCTTGACAGCCTCGCTGGCGCCACTGCGATGACTGCGATCCTGACGCTGTTCGGTGCTCCTTGATGTAGGCTTAACGAGTTTTCTTTCGCATTTCGGCGTTTAGAGTAGTTTATAACGATCCGGAAGGATTGGAGGATGCTGTCGACGCGGTGCTTTACCATTGAGTGACTCTAAAAGTCGTGTTCTGTCGAGAAATGCTTGTGCGCTTCGCGAAGCTGCTAGCGTGCGGCACTACTGGGAGACGCTCGGGCTGGAAGTTTTTATTGGAAATACTGATTCCGTAACCACTTGTTGCCCAATTAGAGTTACCCTGGCGTTTAATACTAAACAATCTCGACTCACGCATAGGGCGACGCGCGCATGACAAGCTTTTCAGGGTCTTTGTGGTCGCAACGGTCGTTTGACTCCCGCCATGAGTATTTGACACCGGAACGAGCGCTGTCAATCAACCGTTTATTATGCACGAATGTAGGACTTGCCCGCGTTTGCCCCAATTTTTCACTGATGGGTCGTCGTCTATTGGTTTACGTAATTACTAGGTAAGCCATGTGCTTGGAGATTTGAAAGATTCCGTGAAAGGCGCTCGGCTTTCGTTTTTTTTTTTTTTTTTTTGTTGCGACGTTTGCAATGTCATAACGACCAATAGCCGAGGAGCGTGGGACATTTGCGCTCAATATCGCAGTGACGAAACCGCTCGGCCGGCCCCCGTCGGCCCAACCTCTGAAAGCGTGCTTATTGATTTTGGCTTCTTCTTATTGCAGAATAATGAATTGACAAGATGCAGGGAGCGGGGCGAAAAAAATTGGTCGAGGTCAACCCCAACCTGACGTGCGTTCTGTGCAACGGCTACTTCATTGATGCGACCACCATCATTGAGTGTTTACACTCATGTAAGTTGCGTGCTGACCGTTACGTAATTATTTCTTAGTTTTTATCCTAATAGCATGTGTGCGATATGTGTATCATCGGCGAAAAAAAATAAAGTGACGCTTATTGGCTTTTCCTCATGGAAACCAATAACTGAAAGGACACTACAGTTTGTAGCTCTGTATTATTAAACCGTAAATCATATGGTGGTTTTGGGACGTTAAACCCCACATATCAAATCAATCCGCGCGGACTTCAACATAGAAACATAACTTTGTATAAAAATTGTTGCTGGTACAGCCGTATTATGGCATGAAAGCTCACCGTTCTCAATTGTGTAGATAAATACAATACCGTAAAATAAAATAAAAGTATAGGCAGGGTGCAGTTTGTGTGTGTGTGTGTGCGCGCGCGCGCAGTATTAGGACTTGAATATCTCTACCAGGAATCTGTGGATAAAGGGGTGGCTCATTCATATAACACAACATTTTAGGAATACAAGGCAACTTTATATGCTTCTGTCAAAAACTATATCTGCAGAATATTTCCAAGTCTCGGTGCACACCAAGCATTTTGCTGGCACAGTAACCATGCAACTTGTTTTTTTGTAGTGATGTTTATTTGCCATTACATGCTAGCTTTTAGTTTATACAGGCCTCTGTTCTAATGTATTGATCCATTTACTGCATCTTGTTCATTTCCTGCATAGACATTGTTCATTTGTGCAGGAAAATGTTCTTACCATTAGGTGTCGGGAAATTACCCACAAACATGATGGTACAATTGTATGATTATCTCTTGAAGGTAATCCTCGGGAAACAAAAGCTGTGCTTTGCGAAATGTAAGATTGTCATTACGAATGTGTGGGTCAGAACTGTTAATCCACTTCATTTCTTCTATTGCTTTCACTAGAAGTGCAGTTACAATTGTTTTTTCTTGGAGACACAATAATCTCATTTGTTTACCATGTTACCGTTGTGAGCCAGTTGCTGTTTTGGGGCTGTACTGCACAACTGCCGAACTTTCAGTGTTCACTATTTCTGTTTTCACAGTCTGCAAGACTTGCATTGTAAAGTACCTTGAAAAAAGCAAGCTGTGTCCCGTGTGTGACGTTCAGGTGCACAAGACACGCCCACTTCTCAACATCAGGTAAGTGGTGACAATCAAGAACTCGCTCATAACAGTGTCAAACAGTGCTTCTTTCATTGCATTCAAACCTGCTTGGGGTTGAATTCTGTGACTACCATTAAATCCCTAGTGCAGCTTGAGTGAATTAGTCAATCACAGTCAAGAAATTAGTTCAGTATAAAAACGTATCATAGTCGAAAATGTCAGTTCGATACACATATTGATGTGAAGTAACGAGAATTCTCGGTTCGCTAAGCAAGACACTGCAGGAAAGGTGACGGACAAATGGAAAGCTCATTGTACTTGTGCACTGGTGTTTTTGTGAACTTGCAAAGATATCCACATGCACACCATGAAAGCAAAAAACTGATTAGTAGCTCACGTCTACAAGAAAACCCATGGGTATTTCTCGGATAGAAGTATCATAGTTGGTGAAAAATTACTTCTAGTTGAACATTTAATCGGGGACTAACAGCTTTCCAAAGCATTCCTTCTACAGATTAAGCTAACCAGTAAGCTAACGATTGGCAGTGCGAGAGTCGGCTGGAAGCACAAGGACGCTGAGTATTGCTAATGCCTCAGATGGGTGGTTTTTGGTTTCCTCTTTCATAACCTTTTCACCACCTTGCACAATTTCCCAGATTTTATTTGCCACACACACACTGCCTGGCTACAAGACGTCTCTCTACAGTCAAGTCCACTTATAAATTGGTGCTTTTGTTCTTTTCTTTCTCTTCACATGAAAATGTTTCGAGTTCGTCGTATCTTTCGAAGTACACTCAGACCTTATAATGACAAAGTAGCATCTTGTGCTGAAATAAGTTTATTATATGTGAAAATTTGTTATAAAGGTGTATTTCCAACACTATATTTAATGCAAGACTACTTTTCATTTAATTCGTTTTAACCAACATTTTGTATAGTATGGTTTGGTTATATTGAGATTTGAGTGTCACGAAGAAATTCGGCTTTCATGTGCCTGTAAGGCCCTTATTTGGTTGGTGTAATTTGAGTGTCTTGTTTCTACATGGCTTTTCCTAGTAGTATTTTCACTTATTTAATATTATATATATACATATATATAAATTTTCTTTTTTTTTTCTCCCCTTGCATACAGGGCAGACCAAACTCTTCAAGACATTGTGTACAAAGTGGTTCCGGGCCTCTTCAGAAGTGAGTCATAGTATTGATATGAGGCAGGCTTTGCATGTCGAATAAATGACATCTGGAAGACCAATTAATGTTGGCAACATTTGCTTTTGTGTGTGGTGCTTGCATCCGTAGAGCAAATGACCTGCTACGTTCTTAACAACGGAGCTGTTCAGGGAACATAGTTGCTCATTCGTTGGCTGTACATGCGTCCATGTGCAGGAAAGCTTCACACATAAGCTCAGTCCTATTTGCTGCAATGGCCGTTCCTGTGGGCATGCACCCACTTATTTAAAAGTTTATTCTGTAGCAAGATTTCATTCCAGCTGAATATTGCCAGTGAGCAGTAGCATATATATTTTTACGTACTTCTGCCCACTAGTGCCCACTAAGTTTATTGCATGCGTGAGAACTTGACACATCTATCGGCAACCAAAAAAATGAATATAGACACATATTAGATGTGCATCTGCAGGCAAAGAATTCCATGTTTTAAGTAACAAGACGAAACATTTTCACACATTTTATTTAGGGGGAAATGTGATATATATGAGTACCGGAATAATCAGCAAACCTAGTGCATTAGGCTGAATAGATTTGGCATGACAAGTTAATTCCGCAGTAGAGAAACCTCAATGTGAAACTTTCGTGGTGGTAGCATGTTAAAAGAGGGGCAAGATTAAGGCTAGGTGTGTCGGCAAAGTTATTGTTTATTCCTATTTAGTGCAGCTTTTCTGCTGACATTTAGTTCTAATATTCACACCATGGACCAATACTGTAGTAAAAGAGATCAGGGCCTGTGCTTCATGATATTTATTCTTGGTGTTCTTTGTCCTTTCTTCAAAGCACCAAAAAACTGATCTTATTGACAAAAAAAAAGTGCACAACAGCACACTCTTGTGAAGGATAATTGCGCTGGATAGTTGGCTCCAATTATGATGAAAACTTCATGCGGTCATAATGCAGGCCAGCAACATAAGGGGGAAGAAAAAAAGTAGCTAAATAAATGCTGTAAATCTAGGTCTAGACTCCAAATGCTGCGACTATTGTATGGTGTGTGAGCGTTGCGACCTCACATTGTGCTAATTGCTTTTCCTTCATTTTTTTTTTTTTTAACAGATGAAATGGCAAGGCGACGACAGTTCTACAACAGCTTGTCGCCATCAGGTCAGTCAGTTATGAGCACCTTAACATGCATGCTTGAACACGTTTGTTTAAGTATGCATATACGATTTATTTAGTTAGTAATAATTTAGATTACTAAGCAGGATTATGTTAAGTGAAGGTAGTAATTTGATTGTGGGAAAGTGTAGCTTTAATTTTTTAGTTTCATGCTAAAATATCATCAGCACCTTAGATTATACCGGTCTTTTTGGTAGCGGTGATATGTTAAGGTCTTACTAAATGAAAACCTTTCCCTCCAACAGAAAGCTCAGCCAAGCCAACATCAAGCGAGGAAAGAGGAGACGTTCGCAATGTGGAACGACTCATTTTCAATCGTGACGACATGATCAGTTTGTCCCTCGAGTACAGTGCACGGTGAGTCAGCATGCAAACGTGCTTTTTCTTGCTCATTTACAAGCTCTGTGTAATTACAGCGAAACCCCCTTTACAAGGAAGTCACCTTATTCGAAGTGCCAAGCAATCTCAAATCAAATGCATACATTTTAGGACAGATTATGTGAAACCCTGCAGGTATTGGCTTCTGTTTAGTACTGAGGGCCAACCAGAACCTAGAGTTAGGTTTCGTGTGTGGCCTAGACTGGTGCTTCGCTCTTGCCTCGAACTAAATGAGGCAATGGTCAGGTCATTCAATGATTACTTGAAAAAGTGTTGCAGTGTTTTCATTTGTAGAAGTAGTGCTTTTACCAAGATTGTAACCCTATTTATTTTTATTGGTCCTGCGTGTTGTTTTTTGATTTTTTTTCCCTTTTTTTTAGCATGTTGTAGGTTAGGTGCAGGCTAGTGTGCAGAAAGTGTTGTGATTAGTCCACCATAAGACTTGCAATGTGTGAAATCTTGTGTATTGTTGCAACACAAGACTTTATGTAATATCCAATCAAACTGAAGTTCCCATGTTTGTTTTTCCCCCTCCATTATCAGGGAAGTTCTGCCGATCCGACCACTGCTGCTGGGACCTCCACCACCCGAAAGCCAGGAATGTGTAAGTTTGGAATAATAATAATAACAATAATAATAATAATAATAATTCAGTTTTAATGATAACATAATTTTTATATCCAATGTATATTTGTGTCGTTAATAAGTGGACTTGACTGTATAAGCAAAGCTGCATGCTTCATCATGACTATGCGCACTTTGTTACAGCCCGCAGGTAGTAGGCGGTACCTCCTTTGTCCTGGCGGATTTACTGTGGGTCATCTCAAGAAATTTCTGAGGGCAAAGTTCGGCTTGTCCAAGAACCATGAGGCAAGTGCAGAAATGGCACATTTACTTTTGTATTTTGAATGGTGAATAGGTGACACTATCTTGCCTCACTCTGTCTTACCACGATTATTTCTTGAAAAGGTTCAGGAATGTCAGGCTAAATAAACTGTGCAGTAGCTACTAACCAAATCATGTATTATATAGTTATACATTAAAAGGAGGCACATAAAACTGCTCTTACTGATGAAAAACTGTCGAAATGAGGTGAAATCATAAAAAATTGTCTGTGTGACTCTGAAAAGCTGTCTGCCCCCTTTTCTGTGATCTTTGACAGGTTCAAACAGTAGGCCAGAGTAATAGAGAATTACTTGTATAACTGTGACATAACAAAAAAAAGGGGGGGGGGGCAGCAGAGGATCCACCAGACGTGACACTTGCATGTCTGTCTTTTTGCATACGGGCACACACATCTAAATGTGTGTGCCCGTATGTCTGATCAACCAGCTCAAACTAAAGCTATGCTCAAAATGTGCCGCTCTTCTTCCATGGACACAGGTGGATGTGATGTACATGCATGACCACCTCCTTGATGAATACTCTCTCATGGACCTTGCCTACATTTTCTCTTGGCGTAGGGTAAGTGCATGTTTGCTACTATGCATTTTGAGCAGCAGTTGTGTCCTTTGATGCATGAACTCTTCTGCTTACGTCTACTGCTCCTTGCAAAATGCTGGTATACTCTATGAAAAGTTTAGGTGTTCAGATTACCAGGAAAAGATTTTGCCTACTTATATGTGACCTTATCAAGGGTGTTGCCATATTGCATAGGCAGGGGCACATTTTTGAGCTGTCTGATTTGGGCAAATGCTCTGTGGTCTATGCCACATACAGTTGAAACTCAATTTAACAAAGTTACCACTGTACTCGAATTAATTTGTTAGATCGGATGGCTTGAAAAAAATTATCTCACACTTTCTCTGTGCATGAGTGTGTTCATGTGCTCGTACATTTAACCTTGATAGATCAGTCGAAGATTTTAAAAAGTTTGTTGCACCAGTGTCCATCGTGCACTTCCGAGCTGTGGCCTAGTAGCTGTAATTGGAGAGATGAGTAGCGATTGTAACAGGAGATGAAACTTATGTAATTAACCTCTATTAGCGTTTGAATAGCTTTTAGTAAATGTATTTAATGTCCACTTTTATTGTTAAATGGGGGCATTGCATGTCCCGTGAGTACACTCAAAATCCTTTTTTTTTTTTTTTCATACTATTTTCGGATTGCAACATAATCTGTAAAAGTGAATGCACGCATTTTTATTATCCTCTACGGCTAAAATTAGAACAGTGCAGTCCCAAATAACTCTGTGCTGCCACACAAGATGGCATGTATGCTGTCACACAAGATGGCATGTATGTACATAAGGAATGCATTAGGTTCACACATTGTATATAAGCAATTGTGTGTTATCGTAATGTTTCTTGATGATCTTGTAATGGAACAATGACGTTCCTTTTACCCGGCAATTGTTGCAGTAATCAACTACATGTGAACATTACTGTATTTGCCAGATGATTTTGTTATAGACGATGACATTACACAATTATTTCATGGAGTGTACCCATGTGTTCTAGCAGTACTGCTCAGGCTCCGACATGCCAAAGCGGATCAATTGCAGACTGCAGACATTTTTCAATTGCCTGATAAGCTGTAGTGCTACAAGAATGATTAATATTTGCTGAATTAATCCTACATTGAAATCCTGTAGACATATCTTGTACTCCCAATGGGACCTTAGTCCGCAGTGCGATTATTTTGCGTTAGTGTGTCTCGAAAGATTTGTTAAAATTGTAATGCTAGAATGAAATCTCCTCCTGCACATGTGCACTTGAAGATGAGCCAGAGTACATTTTGCCAATGTGGCCAGGGTCTCAGTCACCTCTCTTATATGTGCTTTGTTACAGAATGCGCCCATGCGCTTGCTCTACCGGTTCCCAGTGCTACCGCCTTCTCTCATGAGCACGAGCTCAAAGGCGGACGATGTAGTCCCAGTGCCGCCGGATGAAGGACTTAGCATCTACATCCAATCCACTGCATCCCATCAGAACACTAGTGCTCCACCAAATGGCACTGCTGCGTCAGACAAGAAGGACCAAACTCCTTCCAGTGATGCCAGTGCAAATGCCAATGCAGTGTGTGCCACCATCAATCCTGACCATTTAAATACTGCTAGCACTAATGGCAGTGACAAGGGAAGTGTTGGTGCTAACCTCTCCAGTACAATTACGCATGCCAATTCCGTTCCTTCCGAGAATGAAGCTTCGCTCAGCAATAAGGATGGCAGTGCTGAACACACCGCTGCAAATTTCATAAAGCCAACTGAGTTGGCCAGAGCCAAAGGCTGAAAGCTCCCCTATAAAGCAACCCATCGAAACTTCTCCGACCAAGCTTCCACAAAACGCCAGGTCTAAACAAGGCTCTGACAACCAGCTCAACAGTGTCATTAGTGTGCCACCAGCTGGAAGTCTGCAGCCACCTCCACAAAGGCAACAGCCATTACAAAGCCAGCATCCGCCACGAAGCCAGCAGTCGCCACGAAGCCAGCAGCCACCACAAATCCAGCTGCCAGCACTGAGCCACCAGCCGCCGCAACGATCTCCACAAAAGCAGCTACCACCACAATGTCAACAACTACCACAAACTCAACAACAATCACAAAGTCAACCACGAAAGAGTCCACAAATCGTGAAACTTTCTCCAAGCGTGAAGTGCACTCCGTGTTGCCTAGTTGCCTACAGCGCCTCGTGTTACTGGCATCAAGCCCGGTGTCGACCAAAAAGTGCCGTCCAGTGCCAACCAGCCAGCGGCTTGGCCTGGCCGCCCACCAGTTTCCAGCCCACCAGCTAGTCGTGTGGTGACCAGTGGACAGAGACTTGGCAGCAAAGCTAACGCATTGTCCAAGACTGTACCCCTGTCCCATCGCAAAAATGGGCTGTCAACTGCGAATGGTGTGCAGAGTAATTTGCGGCTAATCCTGCCTGCACCGGCCAAGCCTAATGGTGTCACGGACAGTAGAGAGGTGTTGGCAAAAGCCACTAAAACAAACAGCCGACCGAGTGACAGCCCAAGTAGTCCAGCTAAGCGGCCTCACTTGGACTCTGGTCCTGGCAAGGAGGCTGCGGTGTCATGACCTCGGACACCTGTGCGCATGTGTACATAGTGCACAGCTACTTCAAAGCAGGCCATCTCCAGCTTAGATGAGTTGCGAGTTGAGTGAAAGGCTGACAGGTGCAGCCTGCTTTTTTCTTGTACGGGGGGGGGGGGGGGGGGGATTTACATGGGAATGCTTTTGTAAGTTGCGGACAGTTCATAATTACATGAACACCTTTGTTCGCAGTGTTCCTTCTTTAATCTTTATTGTAAACTTATAATTCTTCGAGACTGAAAGTCCTAAAGTGGTTACCAAGAATGATTTTCCAACTTAACTTTTCTCATGACTGGTTCTTTTGTTGTGTTTAGTTAAACAATTAATAATTCACGTGGCCCTTTTTATTTTGTCCCCTTAATTTGTGAACAAGTCCGTTCGCATTCGGTGCTCAACATCTTGGGGAGCAGCAGTGTTACATTCTCAAAGTTTGCCATGGAATGAGTCACCTTTGAGCATTCGAGTATCATACGCCACTGGAAATACTCAAGGAAGTTTAAAAATGTTGCACAACGAGTAATCTTCTGGAGGTTGGACCTGCTTTGAAGTGTTGTTGCTGTTAAGTTATTTACCGGGGGCCACTGCAACGAGAAAGTTGAAGCAGTGCCTTGGACGCTTCACATACTGTGTGATACAACTCTGAGCTCTCTCATCACGTAAGCAACGCAATGAGTATGCTTAGACGGACCACATTGAGCTTGTCACAATTGCAAGGCCCACAAAGCCTTGCCTTCGATAAGGTATAACATGGCTGTGCTATAGTAACTATCAGATGTGTTGTACTATATTTTTGCACTATATCTGAGCACATGTATAAAGGATATGTACAGAAATTAAGCCCCCAAAGGTGCCTGCGCCATCATCATTTTTCGACTATCATAATACTGAAGCACATGTATAAAGGATTTGTACAGAAATAAACCTCCATTGGTGCGTGCGCCATCATTTTTGACCAGCAATGCCAGTTACCAGGACCATGCACTGTTGTTTCATTGAAATACTGCTTTATAAATGAATGTATTTAATAAAGAACATTGAATGCTCAATTGGTGCGGATACGCCAATCCAAGATAAGTCTGCAGCATCAGAGGTTCACTTGAACGGTCGTCCATGTTAAATGTCTGTCCTTGGTCTCTGAAACATGCCCAATGACCTTACTTGCTTTAAGCCTTTTGGATAGGCGCAGCTACCGAATCAATGAAGAGGGGAGTAGTACAAAGTTTTTTCCTTGGTGCACCTTCAAGAGGTGACCACTATAGTAAGCATCTTGTAGTTGACCTGTTTCGCTGTTGACCTAAATAGTTTTGAAAAAGGGCAGTGAACAAAGCATTTCTGTCATTATTAAATAAATATACAAGCCTGCTACAGTAGACTAAACGCTAGCTAGTGCTAAAGTTTATTGTAACGGGTCCAAGAGAAGAAACGCCAAAAACTAGTTTATTATGGGCGAACTTGTGCCCTGAAAATTATGGGCAAGAAAAATGGAAGAGCCCGCTAGAGCGTTCCAAAACAAAAACTGTTCATCCGCCAACGCGCCTTCTTCTTTGCAGCTCCAACCCACACTGACTCGTGCCCATGAACAAGATGCACTAGTCGTGTGGCCACAAGTAGGAGTGCGCACAAGTCTGTGAGCGCTGATTCTTCATAATATTGGATAGTGTGATTAGTCTCTGTGGCATTAGTTCCCCATCGAAATACGCATCGTCCTGATGCGCGATGGAAGGATGCTAACAAAAAAGGAAGCTTTTTCATTGCCTCTCCATACTAGGGCTTCATACGAATGACGTGTACGACTTCTGCGCTGTTTTGCCACTTTGAACGGATGTGTCCATCGACGATGACTTCTTTGTAGTTTAGATCACTAATTCGTCGGAGAGCCTTGTAGGGGCCAAAGTATCGACAAAGGAGCTTTTCTGATAGGCCACGGCATCGGATTGGTGTCCATATCCACACCCGCTCGCCTGAGTTGTACTGAACTTTTCTGCGGCGCAGGTTGTAGTAGCTTGCATCCTTGTTTTGCTGTTGATGTATTCGGTGTCATGCCAACTGGCATGCATGACACCGACAACTGGCGAGAGGTACTGGAATCGTTACCCAGCACCTCCACCAGAATGTAATGGTTCCAAGAGAAGAAACACCAAGAACTAGTTTATTATGGGCGAACTTGTGCCCTGCAAATTATGGGCAAAAAAAATAGAAGAGTCCGCTAAAGCGTTCCAAAACAAAAACTGTTCATCCGCCAACGCGCCTTCTCCTTCTTCGCAGCTGCAACCCACACTGACTCGTGCCCATGAACAAGAGGCATAAGTCGTGCGGCCACAAGCAGGAGTGCGCCCAAGTCTGTGGACGCCGATTCTTCATAATATCGGATAGTCTCTGTGGCAATATTACACTCGTTGTTTAAAACGAGTTTTGGTTTTAGCACTCAAAGGCTATATGCCTGATCATTTGACAGGTTGGTGCACTCGTATCTTGAGATTGCCACTACTGTCACATGAATTCAGTTGAAGAAAAATTGCGTTGCTTACAATACTTTATAACGAAATTGCAAGCTGCACCCAAATTTTGCATTTCATGATACTATATGAGCCAAAGAATCAGCTGTATGCGTGTTGCATAGTTAGACAATTCATTTTTTGCACATACATACTACTACTGTTCAAGTAGCAACCCTTTCAAAATCATTGATGGCCATGAAGAAAAAAAGCATGTTCATTCAAATGGTTTGTTCGTAATTATTGAATGTTGCTTTATTCAATATCAACACTGTATTTTTACAGCAAGAAGCATAATGTGGACACAATGTGTGAATGTACATTAGCGCCAGTAGCAAGTCTTTTTGTCAAAAGGTTTACTGCATGCACCAGCTCTGCTGGTATGCAGTGCATGGAAGGCAGGGGTGTATAGCAGCATTATATGAAACCTCGATGCCTCGCCACGTGACTCTGTTCCCACCTCCTATTGGTGGACACTCGCGCAATGCGGCACGCATGACGAGGCACACTGGGGCTCAATGCAGGAATGAACATCCAGGAGCTACTACGTAAAACATTTTTTCCTGTTCAAAAGCTTAAACTGAAAAACTTGATCCTCTTATGCGATTATTAATGTCATGTTATGCAACACAACAGCTTCAACGACATACAAAGCCCTAGGCTTCAAGGCCAATTTTAAAATGAACTGTGGCTTTCCAGCAGCCATATTTGGTAAGGGACAACCTGGTAGGCGTAAAAAGCTTGCGACTTGCACAACTTGCACCAGTGATGGTTGAATATGGTCATACCATTGCGTACTGCAGCCTGAATGGCCTATTGGTAGGTACTCTACCACGTAAAGTTCCAGTTCTTCGTAGTTCATATACAACAGGGTGTTTTAAATGAACCGCATTATTTTTTTTGTTTGCAACATGAACCGCAGGGGTGGGGGGGGGGGTAATCTTAAGTGATAGCTTTTTGAAATTCTTCTACTTCACAGGATTTTAAGAGGCAAGCAACGAGTTCATTCGCTGTCCGCAAGCCACAGCAGTTCAGCACAATGCAAATTGTGCCAAGATGGCGTAGTGTATTCAGACGTGCACCAACGTGTGCCGTGCTGATCTTGCAAAATGTTGCATGATTGAATGTATCGCTGTAAATTATGGCCCAAGAATGTATTCTCTGGGCAATACAGTTCCCTTTTTTCACATTGTGAGACGTCTATGCAGATGTGGCCAATAGCAAAAAGATGGACGGACAAATCTTTTATTTAAAAAAATTGGACAGGTTTGATTGATTGATTGATATGTCGGATTTAACGTCCCAAAACCACCATATGATTATGAGAGACGCCGTAGTGGAGGGCTCCGGAAATTTCGACCACCTGGGGTTGTTTAACGTGCACCCAAATCTGAGCACACGGGCCTACAACATTTCCGCCTCCATCGGAAATGCAGCCGCTGCAGCCGGGATTCGATCCCGCGACCTGCGGTTCAGCAGCGGAGTACCTTAGCCACTAGACCACCGCGGCGGGGCAAAATTCGACTGGTCCCACATACTTTGCGAACCTATGTTATGCGAAGCATGCACATGCAGCTGACTGCGTTGCGATTTTTTTATTTAGCGAAATGTTACGAAGTTGTGCTAAACACAAGATGTGTACGAATTCACACACAAACATACGTTAATATTTTCTTCATTTGTGAAAGCAGACGGCTGTTCGTCAACACGAAGTTTATGCTCCATGGCCGCTGCCTCTGCCTGCTTCTTAACTAGGCCTGTTTGCCCAGGTCGGAGCTTAATGTATTCTGCTGAGCTGAGCTGAATTTGCAAGAGCCATGGACTACTAGGGATGTGCTTTGGAAAATGTAAATGCTTTGCATGGAACACTGTTTAAATCAACTGTTTTGCGAGTCGTTCCCCACATAGACATGAGAGGCATTTGCTGTTCTTGTTTATTTTAGCAACACCAAAATGTTTCCATTTCACCGACATATAATGTTAATATTGTTGCTATACAAATGTTCAATTTCCAGTTTCTATGCTCTCTGTTGGAAAAATTCTTGTCTAGCTTTATGCTAACAATACTTTGAGAAGGCTCTTTGAAAGCAAGTGATGCTGAAAAAAAAAAAGAGAGAACCTTTGCTACCCACTTTTAATCATTTCCATTGTGTTACAATCTCCAGCAAAGGTGTGTGTCCCAGGAAGCCTGCACCCTGCGGCCGGCTAGTGGTATGGACCGAACTCATTACCACCAATGAGCTCAACATTTTGCTAAATAGAGTGCTTGGAAATGGTTTTCAATGTTGTCAATAAGTGCAGGCGTATATACGAGACTAGCAAAATGACCAGATGACCAAATTACCAGATGTAAATTACTAATCTGACCAGTGCTACTATTGCTCAGATGTGGCATCTCTCTCCGATACTGTTTCGTCTGCCACTTGCTCCGATCATGGATGGTGAAATATCGAGTACTACAAGTGATTTTTTGTGTCATTCATTGCTTTAGCATAAAAGAATGGCGGTTTCAGCCAGCACAATTTTGATCGCCTGCTGTTCTTTGACATGCACATACATGCAAGTATGTGCTTTCGCACTTCACTCGCACCCTACATGTGGCTGCAGTAAGTGGAAGTGTGGTACAAAATAGGTTTGCAAGGTCTTGGGAAGAAAATCGGGAGCGTCAGAAGTTTCTTTTGCCAATTTAAGCCATGAACAGCTGGATGCTCATATTTGAGACTTGCAGGCAGTTGAACCAACTTTTAGTACCAGCTCTAGTAATCTAGGCAAAGCAAGCATTTCAGAATTGATAGCAGCTGATGTTCGGTACAAAACTAGAGATTGTATTTCTTCATCTACTGAAATGATCATTGGGTAATACATGACGTTTTTCGAGTGAGGTAGAAGAAAAATTACTGAACTTATACTGGCTTGGCTGCTAAACCAAAGCAATGAAGGTGGGCTTAAATCCTGTACAAGTTAACCAGAAATGTACTGAGCCTGTACCTTTAGCATGCTTTCTTCTCACAACGCTTTCTTTGGAATTATTTTTCTCCACTTGCCTTGTCCACACCAAATGCAAAAGTTACAGTGGCAATGTCATCACAAGCAGTCATGGGCACGTTAGCAGTAAAAAGTAACAGTATTACAGTTACTTGAGCCAAAAAAGCAAATCTATTACAGTTACCGAGTTTTCAAAAGTAACTCAGTTACAGTCACAATTACAGTCAAAAAGTTACAATTACCGCCAAATAATGTCAATACTTCTCCTTTACTATACAAAGCTAGGCATGGATTAAATGCCAAATAATAGAATTAGTTCAATAAAAATGTACAAAAAGCTATGGAAAGTGCATATAGAGTGAAGATGATGTACACCGACCATTCGACTTTAATTTTTTATGTTCCTCAAGGTGTACCAGGCCTGTTTGAAGAGTTTTGCGTCCGCTGAACATACAAACCATTGGAACGAGTGTTCGCGAAATCATAGACCACACACACCTGTGCACGATCAGGTACAGAATCATCTCGAAGTATGACGCGGAGATTGCGAAGCGACATAATTACATAGGCAAAACTGGCAGCAAACGATCAGGAAAGGTCCACAAAGGCAAAAGTTGCTAATGTCAAACACGTTCTTAGATGGCAGGAACGTACTAGCCAGAAATCTTGGGGAGGGGGGGGATTACGTGTATTTTATGTATGATTCGTGCGTGCATATATATACGCAATGCAAAACTGAAAAATTTCGAGGAGAGTTTGAACCATTGCTCCCCTAGCTACGCCATGTTAGAGGGAGCTTGTTCATGCTGCAGAACAAGGCATTGCTTAGACCTAAACAATGCTGACGACGCTGCCTCATGGAAGGAAGCGATACTGGAGAGGGGGAGGGAGGGGGCTTCTGGAAACGTTTGCAGTCATATTTGACTTGGGAATTAATGGACGTCCATCCCCCTTTTTTTTTTTGCTGTGGTACACCGAGCATGCCACCTACATAGGACATGAAACATTTATCATTTTGTAAATAATTGTGTTAACTCTTTCCAGCGTTTATTCATTTTTTCCCCTTGAAACATGTGAGCCTCACGGGCTGGATTTTAAATGGCGCATATTTTAAAGCTTTCGGCAATTGGACAGAGATGATGCTACTTTGTTTGGGCTTCAATGTGCCATGTTACGTTTGCTTCCTTGCGGCTGTAGTCTTCCTCAAGGCGTGCCAGACAGTGGACCCGAGATGTATTTATACATATAAAAGTACATGCTGTTTCTGCTATGCTGATAGTGCAGAACATGTTGTATGAGTAGATATTGCTAAAGACTATAGAAATAAATGGCTAGGCTTGCACCGGAAGTGACTAGTGGACTGACCCTAACTGCAGGGTGGTCACTTTAGGTGCCCATCTCATATCTTCTAAACGAATTCTGCAAATTTTGTTAAACCGGCTGGGTAGCCAGCTGGTCTAAAAACTGGCTAATCTCACTGTCCGTCCACTTAATCTTTTCTCCTCCTCCCTCCTTCAAATTTTTCATTTCTTGCCAAAAAATCTCTTTCTGCAATGACTTTAACATTTTTTCAATAAAACTGTTTCCCCAACAGAAATGGAGTTCTGTGCATGAAAGAGTCAAGTCATAGTAGAACTATGAGAATCAGTTATACAGAAGTTCTAAATAATTTCTTTGTCAGTTCACAGCCTTTTGCCTTTCAGTCATTTGGCGTAGTTATTTTTTCTAGCCACCTGTTAAACACAATTAGTCGGGAGCCTCGCACGAAGGAATGCTCCTTTGGCACACCCAGAACTGTGGCACACCAAGAACTGATCTGAGACCACAAGTGACAAAAACATTTATACATGCCCCCCCCCCCCCCCCACTCTACAGAAAGGAGGGGGGGCATGAGCTTAAGAAGATGTTCAATAATTGATAATTGAGTTGCGATATACAGTTTACAAGCAAACAAAAAAGATAGGGTGACCCTTAATCTTCACCTTTTAAGAATTGAACACTATGGCAATATTCTGTTCTTAATGTGTACTTGAAACACTTAGTGCACAAAACTTTTCGAACTTGCTATGCACCCACTATGTGGCCTTAAGGGAATAGGTGCAGTAGTGTGTGCCTATTGTAGTGGGTGCCTATTGTAGTGGGTGCCTATTGTAGTGGGCGACCGCCTTTGAACTATGAAGTCATTTCGAGCATATGGTGTTCTTTAACATGCATACATCGCACAATACACGAGCCCCTAGCATTCGGCCTCCATTGAAATGCAGCCACAGCGTCTGGGATCAAAGCAGTGACATTCGGGTCATCAGATTAGCAGCGTAACCACTGCACCATCAAGGCGCACAAATAACAAGGCACAATGAAAGACTAGACAAGCACTTGTAATTTTCTTTTGGGTTCCCTATCGTTAGCATTGTTAATGTTCGTCTAAAAGATGTACCGATTTGCCACTCTAACCATTATTTACTACTAACTGTTATTGTATGTGCACTCTATGCAGAATTGGAACACAATGAGAAAGAAACTAACAATGATTCTCAAACAGCAACGAATAATTAGAAATGTTGCACAACACAAAAATTCAGACAAGACGGAAGTTCAGGGGATGAGGGAAGCTTGAAGTAGTGAGAAACAAAATGGGGAATGTAGCTGGAGCCAACGTTTTGACAAGTGGACTTGTCTTTGTCAGGGCCTTCCTCAGCAGCGTGTTAATGTATGCCTTGCCGACTTTTCCCCAACCTCAAAAGTGGTCAAGGAGAAGAGTAAGCGTCGGCAAAGAAGGAAAGTGTGGAGGATGGGGCTATTGCGGAGAAAGGTTGAAGGGACATTTAAGGGATTGCAGTTTTACTAAAGTAGCAGCAAAAAGAGCAGAGGGGTTCAAAGAGTGAATATCAGTTTGCTGATAGAGAATGGAGGAAGGGAGGGAAGCGCTGTGCTAGGCCGTCACCCCGCTAGAGTTGCAGAAAGTGACACCACTACATTAAAATGCACAGACTGCGGGTGTAGGCCTGGCGGCAATTTACGATTAGCAAAGGTAACTGCAAAAGCAGCCTCATGTATTCAAGAGCAGTGTTAATAGAAGCAGTCTACATGTCTTTAGAAAAATCCACAAGGTGTACTGCTTGTAGATTCGTGTTGTTGCTTTCCGTGTCCCATGCGGTTTTGTGGTTGCCATGTACAATAAATCGCATTGCTTCAAGGTAGGGAGAGAAGAGACGTTTTAATTTGGCACCCAAAATATGGCCACAAGCTTGTGCATCTGTGAGTGTTTCCAAGACAAAATGGACACACATTTATGAAAGACAAGCCTCTTTATGGATCAGAAAAAGAGCTCTTGACATGTATGGTCTTCAACTATGTACAATTCGAGGAGAGATTCATACAGTAACTCTCCTTTCAGTTTTGGCTTCTTGGTTTCCAAACCAGCTTCACGGCAGGCATCTCTAAATAAAGTATGTTTGCAGGTACCAATCCATCCTGTGAATTCTTACAGCAATATGGCATTGACAAACCTAACACCAAACAACTTTTTTTTATTTCAAACAGCACAGTTGCTCCAAGCAAAAGAGCTGGGAGTCTTTAAAAAAAAATTTAAATCAACAAGGTAACAGCAGAACACGATGGGCATGGCTCCGGCCATGCATACATTCTTGTGCATGCTATGTACACAGCCCCACGAACAGAAAGCAAAGGTGCCGCAGATGCAAATGTCTGCTACACACTTGCGCAATTCGGGGGACAAACATGATCAATTCCACAGCATAAAGGCTGCGTTCCAGTTACATAGAGGCAATTAGTGCTCACTGCCTAATAATCTAGAAAGCCTCCACACCGTACTCAGGCCTGAAGAATCATTCTGTCTGACAGTTTCTGCCTTTCGCGGCTTCCATCAAATTATTTCTCGGTCTGTTTGCGTTTACATGCAAGTTCACTGCTGAAAAATTCTTGCCTTCCAAACATTACCAGGCATTTCTGCCATTAGGTGAACAAACGTCTGAGTCAGTCAGGTGGAAAAGAAAAGCATTCTTCTCTGCGCACTGATCATCTTCGAGAAGGATTAATTTGCGTGCTGCTTGTGTTGCAGCTGCCACACATTTGCACGACAGTCACGACAAGGTGATGGGGGAAAAAAAGACAACACCATGTAGAGCACCCCTTTGCGGCGAGCTGTCACTGGACGACGATGCCTGGAAAAAAGTCTTCCACAAGGCTCTTTCTTTTTTTTTTTTTTATGTCGCTTGGCTGTTGCAAGCTACGCCAAGGGCTCTTGCTTTTCGGAGAGAAAGCTACTTCCAGGCAAGCCCCTTAGTATGGAAGACAGCAGAAACTGAACACTGCTGCAGTTGTTGCCTTGGAAAGACGAGGCGATGCATATCCTTGTCAAGCACTCGGTTTGGCTCTCAAGGTTCCTCAGGCTGTGGCTGGTCTTCGGAGGTGCTCTGGTTTTCTGAAGCCTGGCTCTTGTCAGCTGCCCCACCCCCATCATCGTCGTGAGACTCCTCGGACTCGTTTTCTTCGTGCACGGGAAGTGAAGTAGCCTCAGAGGCCCGGTTTCTGTCCGGCCGCTCCATGCCTGAAAAAGGGTCGGTGAAAAGTGTAATTGAACAAAATTCAATTCAACCTGCTTAGCAGAAACGTTACAGGCGATCAGAAAAAAAGCTCAGAAAACAGCTTGACAGGTCACAGCCATCATGTACATGAGTCATAATAGAAGTTGTTTGAACAGCAATAAGGACCTCAAACAAGTTGGAAGACATCTCAATATGTGGACTTATTTTGTACATCTTTTATAGCACAATGTATTTCCATCCATCAGCTTTCTACTTTACTTTCTAAGAAAGATTAGAATGAAAGTACAAACCTATACAGGCTATACACAATCACAGAAATTCAGACATGTCTGTGTAAAGCATCACTTATATGACACTATAAACACTAGCCAGAACATACTCCCAGCAACAATACGTACTGCCTTAACAAGTATCTGCAGATGGCTCGGTGCTCACACAGAAATAGCCACAATGAGCTTCCTTATATAGATAGCTGTCTTTATGGCGATTCCACGTAAGATAAACCAAAGCGCTGCTTGTCAACCTCTTAAACTTCTTTCAAAATTTTATATATTGTTGCCTGATTAGTGGAAAGCAGAGATCTGCAATTGGTTTTGCTGCAAAAAAATTTTTCGAAGCACAGTAAATAAATAATGACGAAGAAATGAACCGCCATGATTACATGCTCTGCTGTTTTTTTTTTTTTCGAATTTGGCAATGATTTACACAAAATGTATTAAAGCTACGTACCTCAAATTTCTTTGGCTAAATAAAGACGTAGTTGCCCTTACGTTGAAGCATATTTCGAATCTCTGCGTAGTGTAGATTTTTCTATAAAGATTCTCAAATTTTACTTAGGAATATTTTTTTTGCCTAGCTTGCAAGCTTTTATTTTAAAAGGGGCCTATGACAGAGCGGATAAAATTTCGCATTACTTTCTCAGCATGCTGATTTATAAAACTGCCAAAGCTTATATTAATAAAACTTTTCAATCAAAATATATAATCACGCTAAGAAGAGCCTTCAAAGGAAACTTCTGGTGACGATTAAAAAAAACCAGTTTTGATATTTTTTTTTATACTTTCTTCCACTTATTCTCCTCCACATAAGTTTTAACAATCAATAAAAACATGTTGCATAATATGGTTTCACTTGCAGTTGTGGCCAGTCAAAAAATGTCCTTGTGCAAGGATAGGCAATTGTAGATTGGACTTCCTGCCCTCTAAGTACAGAATGCAAGCCTATACTTCAGTTTCATAAAAGGCAATCAGCACTGATATAGCTGTCAATTGCACTGAGCATGTCAATTCAGAAATGATTTAGTCACAGCAGCGGCCACGAGAGTGGGATTACCGAGCAAGCTAATGTGTAGGAGAAAAAGTGAGGAAAGAATGAAAAAATCAAAAATGTTTTTTTCTAATCGTTGTCGGAAGTATCCCTTGCATGCACTTTTCTTGAAGTTAGCGTCATTATATCTTTTTATTAAAAAGTGTTATTAATATAAGCTTTGGCAGTTCTATAAGAATGCTAAAAAGTAATGCGGAATTTTTACCTCTTTGTCATCGGCCCTTTTCGAAATAAATACCAGCAAACAAGGCAAAAAAAAACATTTTTAGGTCAAATTTGAAAATTCCTATTTTCAAAAAATGTACACTTATGCAGAAAATCAAAATTTAATTGAACATAACTATAAGTATGCCTATATTAAGCTAAACGAATTCGGGTATGTAGCCTTAATAAATTTTGCGTAATTCATCACAGAAGTTAAAGAGAAAAACAGCATAGCAGGTAAGCGTGGCACTCCACCTCTGCTCCACCTCTGTAAACTTCTTACAGCAAAAACATTTGCGGACCTCTGCTTTGCAATGATCAGGCAATATATAAAACTTTGAAAAAGATGTAAGCAATCAACGAGCCATGCTTTGTTCGATCTTGCGTGGAATCACCCAGTATACTTGTTTAAGATTTTTAATACATGACATAGCTGCGCCTCATGCAAGAGTGCCCTTCTTTGCACAAACTGTAGGAAGGACCCAGTCACAGTCAAGAAATTTGATCCCTATTGGGGCCGACGAGTACTAAGAAATAGCAGCATAACGCCAGAATTACACACCAAGTGGCTTGAGGACCAAGAACGAGAGAATGTCCGAGAGTGAGATGATAGCCAACAACATGGTCCTCTTCATCCACAACCACCAATCGATGCACCTAAATGAACAAAAAGAAAACGAACGAAATGTTAATTTTCTCATGTCAGACAGACTAGGCATGTCTGGTACATTAGAAAATAAAATCTTTTAATTCTCTCTTCAAATATATAGGGAGAATGCAGACACAAGGGTAAAGGTTGCATGTAGCGGCTTGAAAAAAGACGCCAAGCCTGCGCGCAGCGTCCAGCACAGTCACAGCTAAAGCTGGAAGAGTGGCTTCTCAAAGACTTTTCTAAACACTCTTTGGGTAACTGCTACAAGCACACTTGCTAGGTGCCCACTACACCATAAATAATCATAATTTTCGTTCAGTAAGCCGACATTCACTATGCTATCCTTTGTCATTCTTCAGAGAAACGTAGTATCCGCTACAGACTTGCAGGAAATTTTGTGCAAATATTTTATACAGTGGCTGACGAGGAAGAAGTATGCCTGATGTGGGTATGTGTTCAAGAGTGTGTTCAAGAGCAAGCTTCTATAATGAGCTGGAGCACTGGACGACCCACTCGTTATGCTAACCGCATTGTGCGATGCCTGGTTTTTCCTTAGCTCTTCTAAAACACTTTATTACTAACACTAACACAATTCCTTTCCTGACATCAAGTCTGCCTAAGGCAAGTTTTAAAATTAGTTTCAAGCACCAGCGTGGCTCTGCGATAGAATCCTGGGCCGGCAGGTAGGGGATCTGGGTTGAAATACCGCCGTGTGCTTGGCGTTTTTGTAAGTTTTTTTTTCTTAGTTCGTGCGATAATGGTTATGGACACCGGCAGCGGCGACGAACAACTATGGCGCCGCACACGGCTCTTTGTTGTGATCTCACAACAGTGTTCACTTTAAAAAGACCCATTGTTCCCAGCACGGCAGTGTGGCAAGAATAACTATGAACTTTGACAAGCACGAAAAAATTGTAACAAGTTTATGCGACGTTTTGATTTTGAAAATGTACAACAATAAAAAAAGAAACAGCAAGCATCAGCGAAAAATCTATGTACAAAAACAAGGTGAATGCTTTTGCCAACACGTTTATAATTCAACAAGAAAAACAGACTGAAAAGTGAATACTATGAAGAGAAAAACACCATATAATTAGTAGCAATAGTAGCACAAAAAAAAAGAACTGTTCAAAAGGGTAAAAGCCTATTGTAGAAGTGGAAAACATTGAACATTTATTACAGGAGCAGTAAAACATGGATCAAAATATTATTTCCCTACATTTCTTCTAGTGCGATCTTTAGTCGAACATTTATACCACTCTTGGCAGCTACGTTTATGGTAAGCAAATTTAGGCTTCTGATTTTCGCCAACTCGCTGGTACAACTTTCCAGTTGCTCGTCGTGCTTTTTTTATTTTTGCTTATTTGTATGTATCCTGCACATATAATTATTTCGGTGATTTGCACATTCACTATAGGGCATTTCATTCACTAGTAATGCATTTGTTGATGAATTTGACTAGTTGAGTGTTGAAGTCAAACCTGGGGGAATCAACAAGTATAGTTAATCACACACTGGCAAATGTGCATTCAATCAAAGGTGATTACCCTGGAAACAATGCTAAAAGTAAATATGTGCATTCGTTTTTCTTCAACTCTTATGTGTACTAAATGACATTTTTTAAATCAAAATTAAAATACCTTCAGAAATTGAAGAAGTAATTAAATTTCCACTTCTTATGGGCTTGTTTGTAAAAGGTAAGTCCCTTTCTTGGCCTCCTTTTATGATTATGTGCACTTGATTGAAGTCTGTAAGTAGTCTGACAAAATGGTATCAACTAAGAAATGACTCTCCATGCATTGTGCATCGGTGCATAACCTTTAAGGTTGAATGATATTAACATATTTCTATTGTTCATTCTGGCAGCATTCTTGTAGATGATAATTAACCTGTAAGCATAAAGCTTCCGCATTTTATTGGTTTTCAACTGGGAAAAAGGGTCTTCCGTAAGGGCATGCCATGGTACATTAGGAATCAACCTTATCGCAAATTTTGGGCCACAAGAATCTTGGTTAAATAATGCTTCATACAGTCGAGCCCCTTTATAAGAGACACTGGTGTAAGAGACAAATGGGTATAAGAGAAACAAGTGTACCTATTGTAAAATACGGGTGGCAGATAAGAAAATGCACATGATGTACTCTGCTTATAAGAGACATCTCATATTCTCACGTGCTTGCCCAAGAAAGACGATGACAGTTGTGCATGTGCCACGAAGGACTACGAAATGGACGAAGAAGAACTCGCTTGCGCGTTCTAATTAAAAAGATCGACCTGCTTCTGTTGTCTCAGTCTCTACGGCAAGACCTCTGTTTTGACGGCGTGACACTGGTGGAGGTGCTGGGTACAACCGGATGCAGGACAGTCTTGCTCGGAACCCGTTCATCTAGTCCAGAGACCCAGCCCCTCGTCACGACTCCGGTGCACCGATTCAGTCGGCGCCTACTAGGCCTAAGTCCGGAGTCCGTACCTGTTCCGCCTCTAACCAGCAGCTCCTACCACATCCACGGCTACCCTTCCATCGCAGACCACACTTCCCTCCCAGGTGACTCTTGAACATCCTCGCGTTCCTGAAGTTTTCCATGGGGAAGAGTACGAGGATGTCGAGGACTGGCTCGAACAGTTCGAGCGGGTCGCTGTATCTAACCACTGGAACGAACAGCACAAACTTGGCCGTGCATATTTCGCCCTGGAAGATAGCGCTCGCACGTGGTACGAGAACCACGAGGCTACTTTCCAATCTTGGGAAGATTTCCGCCGAAAGCTTTTCGCCACATTTTTGAACACGGACCGACGGGATCGCGCACAGCAACTGATTGAGGCTCGCGCACAAAAACCCAACGAAACAGCCGCCATGTACGCAGAGGGTATGATCCGTCTGTTTCGCAAGCTGACCCTGACATGCCCGAGGCGAAGAAGGTGCGTCACCTAATGCAAGGTGTCAAAGAGCCAGTGTTTGCGGGCCTCGTGCGAAATCCACCTACAACAGTAGATGAATTCATAAGAGAGGCGACTGTCATCGAGCGCGCACTGCGACAACGATACCGACACTTTGACCACCTGCCGAACCACACGGCAGTAAGTGCTGCAGCTCAGAACACTGCCGTGTGTGAAAGTTCCCTGCGACAAATGATTAGGGAAATACTGCGTGAGGAACTTCGGGCCCTCTGCGTCCCTCCTACCCAACCGCCCGTCGCATCTGTTGCCGAAATCATCCGCCAGGAGTTGAGGCAAGCCGTTACACCACCGGCGCCAAGTCCTGAGCCACATCCAGCGAGCTACGCTGATGTGGTCCGTCGTCCTCCACCGTCATTTGTGGTGGCAACGGGATTCCATGAGACGACCACCAGTTCGCCGAACTGACTTGTGGCGCATGGCCGACCGTCAACCTATTTGCTTCCGCTGCGGAGAACCAGGTCACATTGCTCGCTATTGCCGTCATAGCTATTCCGGCTTCGGGAACATTTCTCGTCCCGCTTCTTTCCGCTCTGAAGACCGTCGTGCCCACGATGCTGATCAACTGTCGACTGGCCAAGCAACTACACCGCGTCGCTGGCGATCTCCATCTCCTGCGCGTCACCGTGACTTCCCTCAGAGCTACGCGGACGTCACCAGAGGCCGTTCGCCTAGCCCACGCCGGGGAAACTAACTGCTGCGACCTCCGGGGGCAAGGTTGCCAATCGTCGAGACACCGAAAAGTTCCCCCTATTATCGCAAGAAGGTATGACGACAACCACGACGAATACGACGGCGAATACGACAACGAATACTAATGCCCGTGAAGTTGTACGTGCTGATCTTGGCGTTTTCATTGACGGACATTACGTTACAGCACTGGTCGACACTGGCGCTGACTTCTCAATCATGCGACAAGAACTCGCCAACCGCCTTAGAAAGGTCAAGACACCGTGGACAGGGCCACACATAAGGAGTGCTGGTGGTCAGCTGATGATTCCCACGGGCAAATGCACCGCTCGACTTCGCATTGGGGATTCTAACTTCGTGGCCACTTTCGTCTTGTTGCCAGACTGCTGTAAAGAGCTAATTTTGGGCATGGATTTTCTTCGAGATCACGGTGCTATTATCAACATCCCTCAACGTATGGTGACGTTTTGCACACATCCGTATGTCGACGACAGCAGCGACGAACTACGCGGCAACTTGCGAATAGCCGACGATGTGACGCTCCCACCGAGATCCTGCTGCCTTGTGTCTGTGTCCAGTGGGTGGCCTTCCTATAAGGATGTGATAGTGGAGCACATAGTCGCTCTTTTGCTCACTCAAGGCATTTCCATCGCGAGAGGCATCCTAACGCTTACTGGTGGACAGGCAGAAGTGCTCCTTACAAACTTCAGCAACGAGCGCCATCAAATCCAGAAGGGTACCGCAATTGCCTACTTCGACGATATAGACCAAGCCGGGGATTGCTGTGCTTTGCAACCAGATGACGCGACAGCCCCTGCCTCGACAACTTTGTCGGTGGACATCTGCTCCATGCTACCGTCCTCTGATAGGAAGCGTCTGCTTGGACTTATACACCAATTCGAAGACTGCTTTTCACGTACGTCAAAGGTCCAGCGGACACCATTGACCAAGCACCGCATCATCACCGAAGACAACACGCGACCGATTCGACAAAACCCCTACCGTGTGGCTCCGAAAGAACGCGAGGAGATTCAGAAGCAAGTACAGAAGATGCTCGTGGATGACGTCATACAACCTTCGAAAAGTCCTTGGGCGTCCCCCGTAGTTTTGGTCAAGAAAAAAGACGGCAGCTTGCGTTTCTGTATTGATTATCGCAAGTTGAACCAAGTCACGAAGAAAGACGTCTATCCACTGCCTCGCATAGACGATTCATTCGATCGGCTGCGTCATGCGCGCTATTTCTCTTCAATGGACCTCCGAAGCCGCTACTGGCAGATAGAAGTCGACGAGAGAGATCGTGAAAAAACGGCCTTTGTGACGCCTGATGGCCTTTACGAATTTAAGGTGCTTCCTTTTGGGT